GGGGAAGGGGCGGGGCGGTGGCGGCAAGGGGAAGGCTGAGCCCGCCTGCCCGCGCGTCACAGGTCCGTCCACGATGTCGTGCGAGCGGCGGTGCGGCCGCTGCACAGGCCTTGGAGCAGCGGCGGGGTTGGGAGAGGGACGTCGAGAGGGTGGCGGTCGAGGTTGTGGGCGGTCGCGCGTCGGGGCGCGAAGCTGCTGCGCCGCATCTTCATCCCGTCCGTCCTCGGCATCTGCTTGGGCGGCGGGGTCGGGCTGTTTGCAAAGACGCTGATGCTGCCGCCCGAGACGGCGCCGCTCGGCTGGCTCTTCATCTCGGCCTCCAAGCTCGGCGAGGCGGCGGTGCCGCCGCCGCCCGCCCTGCTCTGAAGCGACTCTGATCTGCCGCTGAGCCGTCTCTGGGCCTCCCCGCAGGTGCCCATCAACCTCGTCCTGCTCGGGGCGGCCCTCTCGCGCAGGCCCGAGGCCAAGGGGCTGCCCGTCGCCACCGCCGTCGGCATCGCCCTCGCGCGGATGGTGGCGATGCCGCTGCTCGGCCTCGTCGTCGCCTACGGGCTCACCACGGCGGGCGCGCGCTTCGTGCAGCCTTATGTCGCCGTCGACCCGTTCTGGCTCGTCTGCCTGATCGTGACGTGCACGCCGACGGCCAACAACATCGTGGTGCTGTGCGAGCTCGCGGGCGAGAACAAGCACACCATGTCTGCCGCCATCTTTTATCAGTATTGCGCCGCGCCCATCCTCTTGCCCGGCGTACTGACGCTGTACGTGGCCTTCATCTGCCACAATCGCGAGAGCATTCATGGGGACATGCTATTGTGAGATGTGAGAGATGTGAGACGCTTGCGATACGTGTCGTGGTTCTGTGTATGTGCATCTTGCAGCTCAGCCATAACGTGAGTCTGCGAGCGACGACCTCGTTCAGTGGTCAGCAAGCAGAAATGCGAAAACCCCGGGGGTAAAACCCGAAAATACCCGAGGGTTTCAGGTATTTTCGGGTATTACCCGCATTGGACGCTGGAGATCGTCGTGTGGGACGTGGGTCACTGGTAGGCCTTCCTTTTATTGTTGTTCAGCTGGCCTAACGTTAGCTACGGTTGGGGAGCCCAACTGTTGTTCTGTTGTTACTGTGTTAACACTAGCAACACTGTTCGGCTCTTAACGTCGACAGCTCTAGCTTTAACGTTGACAGCTTAGCTGTTTCCTCCGCAGCGAGGCGCATACCACACTAGCCCAACGCTGGTGCTCGCGCTCGTGAAGCGCTGATCTATCGACGGCGACCCGGCGACGGCGCCCACCCCAGCAGCGTCTCCCACCCCCACCGCGTCGCGTTGTCGCACATGTTGCAATCGAGTTTGTCCATGTCGCACTTCTCGCCAGGCAGTGACACGTATGTCGTGTTCGTGCGAGTCGCATTGTCGTATCGCGACGGACCCATGCGCAGCTGGCCGCGCGGATCGAGGCACGGCCAGAGGCTCTCGGGTCCGTAGACCGATGTGACGAGCACGTTGTCGCGGGCGTTTTGATACAGCTCGTGGTCGCACGCGCAATCGGTAAAATGGGCGATGCCGTGCAGGTCATACACGGCCCGACAATGGTCGTGCAAACGGCACGCGCTGTCGAGCGTCCCCGTCGCGCACGTGTTGTATCGTTGGGGATCGTATCCGCAACATCCGGTGCCGCACCAGTTGGTGCCCGGAAGGACCAGATCGCGCAACCAATCCATGCGACGCCTCCTGCTTGGGTGTCGGCGCAGTGCGCCCGGCGATCCGCGGGAATTTCGGCATCGACTCCTCACTTGAGCACTTGAGCACTGGATAGGGTCGATTCCGCATGGTACGGGACCCCTCGACTCCTCACACGAGAGCGAGGCCATCGCCAGCGCCAAAGCGGGCGAGCTCGTCGCATACGCCCGTGAAGTCCTCGTCGCCCTCGGCGCCCCGCCAGCCGGACCGACTGTCATCCTCTCGGACAACAAGGCGAACGAACGTCCTCGTCGCCAACAACGCCAAATCCGCCTCGCGCTCGCGCCACTTCCTGCGCCGCTACCACAACGCCTCCAACGCGCGGGCTCGCGCAGTGCATTGGGGGAACTGATCAATGCCGCCTCTGCGGGCCGAGCGCGAGCCCGCCCAGCAACATTGGGGGGGTGCGGTAGCCGGTAGGTAGACAATCTACCTCCCATCTAACCGCGCCTACCCTTTCTTGCATCTTGGGTGATGGGTAGACCTTTCACACCCACCGAGGTCATTACCTCTAACTAGTTCGTGCGTCCTGCTATTCGCCCGCCTGGTTTCGTTGCGTCCTCGCTTTGTGTGGAGTGTGGTCTAAATTGAGTGTATTGTTTGCTACATACATGCTAGCTAGACCCATGAGACCAGCCACGCCGCGCCCTCGCGCTCGGGCGCCTCCAGCGCCGCCCTCGGCCCCGCCGCTACGACCGACGGAGTCGGAGACGTCAACTCCGCAGTCACAGAAGGCGACGAGCGTCTTGCGCTCCATCGGACGCAGGTGCCCCGCGTCTCGGCTCTCGGTCTCGAGCGAGCGCGCAGCCGCAGGCCGCGGCAGGCGCACGAGTTTGGAAGGTCGGGCCTGCCGAAGACGGGCCATCCCAGCTCCCCCAGATCTGGGTCTCCAGTTGTCACACTCTCCGATACTCTCACAGTGTCAGTGACAGGTGGCGCCGCGAAGGGCAAGACAAGTACTACACACAGACGAAGAACGAGCCCACACGCGCGCCGCGGGCGCGTGAGCCCGGAGACACCCCGACCACGCCCGCGCGTGCGGCGCCACCCCTGTCCTCGCTATGCTGAGTGCTCCACTGACCGCTGTCCGCTGGAGTAGTAGTTTAGAAGCCAAATTGCAGGCCGGCGAGCGGCTCGGCCGTCCTGCGAACGCTCGAACGGAACGCGTCTCGCCACGCGGGAGGCAGTGTTCCTGCGCAGGAGCGGGACTCAAAACTCGATCAAAGGGA